GCCTCAAACTTGAAAAGAACGCATTTGGATCACCGCACACTAAATGTTCCTATTCCAACCGCTAAGGTATATGCTGCTATGATCTCATCTCAGATCTTTGCTCTAATTAAATCAGTCTTTCTTAAGCTGTGAGCTTCATACATATTCTTGTGCCCACAACTTATTCCTTGTTTTATTATTTTAGATTTTGGAAGCAATTACAACGAAGAAATGCCTTGAGAAGTTTCATTTGGAATCACTTGAGACACTTGGAGACTCTTTTCTCAAATATGCTGCCAGTATAAAGCTGTTCAAGACTTACGAAAATCATCATGAGGGTCTTCTCACCGTTAAGAAAAATCAGATTATTTCCAATGCTGCACTATGCAAGCTTGGATGTGCTCGTAAAATACCGGTAGGTATTCCTTGGTGATCAACTCCATGTCTCTATTAATCTTGGGTGACTTATTGTTTTTCTTTAGGATATGTTTCATTGATGCTTAAGGATAACCAGGGGATATTTACTCGTACACTTTGACTAAAGATCCAATATTGACTGTTAATCATGCCTGCCACCTAAAAGTTGTCAACTTTTGCATGTAAACATTCTCTACTCCCTTCCTTGCCCACACAAATGTCTACTGTTTGTTATAATGGAAATTAGTAGTTATTCATATTTGTAAAACATGCATATTGCGTCAGTGCATCAACTGGAATACAATTATTTTAGGACATGTCAATTTTGAGCGAGTGCTTTTGGATACTTGTATTAGTAAATATCCCAGTGAATTTTTAAAGAGTTCATGCAGGTCCTTTATGTTTTATTGGTTTAACTGCATAGTATTGTGCCTTACTGGATGAAAATGCTATCTGAATTCTTTTTCTTTTTTTCTTCTTAAGGTTTTCCCTTTAATAAATACCTTTGATTACAGGGATTTATCCGTAATGAACCATTCGATCTTAAAGCATGGATCATTCCTGGTGATAATTCTCAAGTTCACAGCTTCGACGACGAGTTTCTAACGTCCTCAGATAAAATGTATAGTAGGGTAAAACAGAAGATTAAAAGTAAGAGAGTAGCTGATGTGGTCGAGGCACTAATAGGTGCCTACCTCAGCTCGGGTGGGGAAGTAGCGGCTTTATCATTTATGAAATGGCTTGGGGTGGACATCAATTTTGTTGATGCACCTATGTCAAGGCACTTTCCCATGAATGCTGAGAAGCTAGTTAATGTCAGATACTTGGAATCCCTGCTGCTTTACAAGTTCAATGATCCTTCTCTGCTTGTTGAAGCTCTAACTCATGGATCTTACATGCTACCTGAGATTCCACGATGCTATCAGGTTATTCCCGTAAATAAATATTATCCATCTTAATGTTGTTAAATACTTGGAACTATATTTTGCATATTGATTACTAAAATATAATGTTGCCTAGATTGGTAAAGTTGTGAATCTGAACATTTCATTAACCTAAGGCTTCATAGTATTTGATGGCTGTTCTTACAGCTGCCAGTGTGAAGGAAAAAAGTGCATTGTTTTATTCATTCAAGGAAGTTTCACGGTTTTATATAATGATAATATGAATCCTGTCTTGCTATATTTGCATCTTATTCTTAATTCAACATGTGCATCTTCACATTTGGACCAATCTATTGTACGAGCGCTCATGATGAGTAACATCCTAGAAAGAGCAGTACTTGAAATATGCATCATGATTTCACGAAATGAATCATTTTTTGTTGTGTCGTGGTTTGTTTGCGGTATATTCAGCCTTCCTTGCGCACTGAGAGGATAGATAGTCACACTGCCTACATTGACAGTTTGTTCCTTTAAAATCGATATTCGTGTCTTTTTTAACTCTATTTGATTCAAATGCTGATATGATCTCCTGGCTTTGCAGCGCTTGGAATTTCTTGGAGATGCAGTGCTCGATTATGTTGTTACAGCACATCTCTATTCCAAATATCCGGGACTGACTCCAGGACTAATTACTGATTTGAGGTCTGCCTCCGTAAACAACGAATGCTATGCTCAATCTGCAGTTAAGGCTGGCCTGCACAAGCACATTCTTCATGCCTCGCAAGATCTGCAAAGGCAGATATGTAGTACTGTTGAGGATTTCGATAAATTGAACCTTGTCTCCACGTTCGGATGGGAGGCTGAAACTACTTTCCCAAAGGTATTGAATACTTGCCTCGAAGTTACGATATAGAAGAAAAAGTTACTGAAAGCTCTTTCTGCAATCAAAATGTAAATCTTTCCCATTGTCGAGAGCTTCATTTTATGCCACGGATTTGTCTTATTTTTGTTTTTGGTTCGCTATAGGTGCTTGGAGATGTTATCGAGTCCCTTGGTGGTGCGATCTTTGTTGATTCTGGTTTCGACAAAGATACTACATTTCAGTGCATACGACCTCTTTTGGAACCGTTGGTTACACCTCAGACATTAAAGCCCCATCCAGTAAGAGAGTTAACTGAACTATGTGACCAGAAAGGTTATATAAAGAAGAAGGATGTCGTCTGTCGTGAGAATGGTATAGCCTATATTACAGTAGAGGTTGAAGCAAATGGCGTTATTCACAAGAGCACGTGCTCAGGACGAGATAAACTAATGGGCAGGAAGGTGGCTAGCAAAAATGTGCTCAAGTCTCTGAAAGAATGTCCATCCAATGCTTAACAGTAGTTACAAAATTCCCAGAATTGCTTAATATTGTAAGGGTCATTTGGTTGTTTGATTTCTGCCCTTGTCTGTTTGGATGTGTTGTTTCATAATGTATCGTAATGTACTACTGGATTTGTTGTTATGTAAAAATGAAGATTCTCCTTTTGTGATTATTTTCTTTAGTAAAGGTGGATTTAGCCAAGGAATCTTCTTTTTTTGAACAGTCTCAACATCCTCGTTGAGAGTAGCTTTGTGAGACGTTTAGTAGTCTCTGGCTTGGTCTTCGAATCTCCTTTTATGATTATTTTCTTTAGTAAAGGCGGATTTAGCCAAGGAATCTTCTTTTTTTGAACAGTCTCAACATCCTCGTTGAGAGTAGCTTTGTGATACGTTGAGTAGTCTCTGGCTTGGTCTTCGAATCTCCTTTTATGATTATTTTCTTTAGCAAAGGCGGATTTAGCCAAGGAATCTTCTTTTTGAACAGTCTCAACATCCTCGGTGAGAGTAGCTTTGTGAGACATTTAGTAGTCTCTGGCTTGGTCTTCGAATCATGTGGTCTAAATTATAGTGTTTTTGTTCTTTTACAAACCTTAACATTGTCTAAGCCAGCCTCAAAATTTTAAGGGGCTAAAGCTATACTACTGATCAAACTACTGTACTAAAAAGCATATCTTATATTGTCCAATATATGCATTTGAATTATATTTTATGTAATAAACTTACTTACAACAAACCAAGTTTTTTCTAAGGTTACTGCAAGCCTAGTTCTTTTCTGGTCAAGTGTGGGCATAATAGGCGAGATAAGATCAACAACGAATAAAGATATTTGATACAAGGTGAGACTGACCTTCGTGGGGACAAAAATGGAAGAAATGAAACTATGATGGGTTGTGTATGTGAAAAGAGATGCCTTAGTGAAGAGATGTGGTAGGTTGACTGTGGTGGCTTTGAGAAGAGGTAGAGGTAAGTCGGAAAAGTATTGGAAAAAAGGTAATTAAACAAGATTTGAGACACCTAGTGTTTACTAAGGACGCGACCCTAGATAGAAAGTTAGTAGATAGTCGCGTTTGTCTAGTTTTTTGTATCAATTGTCTCTCCATCTCATATGGTAGAAGTAAGATTACGTACACACCTGACAGTGCTGACACCACCCTCTTCAAACTCTACTTGTGAAATTTTAGTAAAGATGTAGGTGATTAATTTGTTGTTAGTTAGATGAGGTCTAAATATTTTTTTTTAAAAATTAGTCAAAATAATAAGAGATGATCAATAATTCAAAATATGGGAAAGAAGCACCTTAAGAGCATATTCCAAATTCTGAAAAAATGCTTATTGTTATTTTATTTTTTTAGAATTACTACTTTCTTTCATTCTTATTTATACGTCACCATTTTAGATTTTACGTCTTTTAAAAAACTATATAAGTTTATCATTATATACTTATTTAGTATTCTCTTGAACTCAAGTTTTCAATAAATGAACATAAATTAATTTATTTTGATTAATTAATTGATCAATGAACATGAGTTAATTATTTAATTTTCTTATATCGGTTGAAACCATACTTTCAAGACTGATAATTTAAAGAGTAAAATAGAAAGAATAATGTCATTTATGCATTAATTTAATAAAATAACGTATAAATAGAAATGAAAGAAATAATTAATGAACTTGATATTTGGTGATTGCGTTGTTTATATCTAGAAAATAGTGATGGTTATTTATTGTCTATTTATTTCTTGTGGGGCTTGTTATTAATTGCTTATGGGACTTCTGATTTCTTTGAATATTGTCTTCTTCTTTATACGTGTCATTTTTATCCAAATCTATGAGATTTAAGTTTTATAAATAAATAAAAAAAGAATTAAAATAATGCAAAAATAAGATATGAATAAATTTCTTACGGAACAAGAGATATTGATAAATAAAAAATATATTTGGAGATATTTCAGATTTATCACCAAAAAAGAATATATTTTTTTCAACCGATATAATGTTTCAATTCTTAATTAAAAGGTGTCTGATTAAGTTATGCTAATCAATTATCTTTGAAATTGCTTTCTTTATAATTTTTATAATCGATTATTTTCGATAGATACTCAGTTTTTAAAAAAATCAAAATACATCTTTACTATCATAATTTCCAATTGTTACACTTTTTCTACTTAAATAGAACATTTTGACGACTGGAGAGGATGAAGTATACATATAGCGTACTTCTACTTTCGTAGAGATTATTTTCGATAGATATTCCACTATGAAAAAAATCATTTTCCAAATTATTACATTTTTCCACACTCTTCTTTCAATCAAAAGGACTAATTAATTGGTCCACCAAACTTTTTTTTTGTACAAATATAAAAAAAAAGGACATTTTTCTTCAATTAACCACATGCTATTTTTCACTTCAGCAGCTCAACTACCACACCGGAAAGTTAACCGTCGCCGTTCGGAGCTCCGGCGAAGTTTCAAATGTTGACAGATTATTTCTCTTGTCTGTTACCGGGTCGGAGCTCCGATTCCGGTGATAGTGTTGTTGCTGATAGAAACCCGGTTTTGTTGGTATCGGGTCTTGCCGGGTCCATTCTCCATTCTAAGAGTAAGAAATTTGGCAGTTTCGAGACCCGAGTTTGGGTCCGACTTCTCCTAGCTGAACATGAGTTCAAAAAAAAGTTATGGTCAATTTACAATCCAAAAACAGGTTAGGCTTTTTCTGGATTTTTAGTTTATGAGTTCTGGATAGATTATTTATACATATTTAATAAAAAAAATTTAGCATAAATGTAGAGTTGGAGGAAGATATTTCCATTTTACTGGTTTTTTATAGGTGTTAGTTGAATTGAGGGTCTATCGGAAATAATTTATACACACTACTCTCGTAGTACATGACTTGTGAGATTACACAGAGTATGTTGTTGTTGTTGTAATAAGGTGGAATATAGAGTATGATAGTAGTGTTTTGCTAGTAATTTTTTTTTTTGGTATTTTGGTTAAAACAAGTGATTATGGGTATTGTTTGGATATATGCAAAATAAATGATTTTGTTCAAAAGTACTTCCTTCGTTTCGATTTGTTTGACTCAGTTTCATTTTGTTTGTGTGGTTTGGACTTAGGTGTGGAGTTTACGAAAGTAAAGAAAGACTTTTGAATCTTGTGATCTTAAACTAAACTAATGATATGTAGAATATACCAAAATATTTTTTAATCTTGTGATCTTTAAACATGGAACGTGGAAAGTTAGAATTAAAGAGTTGCCAAAAAAGGAAAGAGACATTGTTTTTTAAACGGCTAAAGAGCAAAGTAGGACAATCAAATTGATATGGAGAGAGTCGTTTGAGTTGTGACGGGAACTGTTTCATACAATTGTAACTTGTAAGTAATCGAACACTGGAAAGATTGTATAGAGTATGCATTCAAGTTCTTATTTTATTTTTTTTTAAATCTTTTGGGCAAATTGTTGTATCTTATTGTTGGTTTTGATGTGGGATATTCAGGGTATACAGAGGCATTGGATGATAGCACAGAGATAGTAGTCCCACAAGATGATTATGGACTCTATGCAATTGACATTTTGGATCCTTCACTGGTATGTTTTGCATCATCAAGTGGTCACAAGTGTTATATCTATGTGCTTTAGTATCGTGTTTTATCAAAAAAAAAAATTGTAGTTTTGCTATGTCAAATTTGTATGGGGAGATGATAGAATCTTGACAATATCTATATCACCTTTGTATATATAGATGCATAATATACAAAGAAAAATCCCCTGTCCCAAAAAAAGTAATCACTGGAACCAGTATTCTCAAAGGCGAAGAGCCTTAAAAAGCAGTTCAGGTCTATGGGGGCTTTAAGCGTAAAGCGCAATTGAAGTGTGGGCTTTAGTTTAAGAAGGTGCAACTAAGAATTAAAAAAAAAGTATATGCAATGCAAGATAAACTAACTACTTCATTCATAATGATTTCCTTGACAATTTTAAAATCATTTTGCCAATCACAATTATGCTTAGTACTGTTCTATTCAAGATATAACTTATTGGCAATGAGGTGCATGCCTTACTAACTTGCCTACATGGAAGTGCAGCCTAAGTGATGTGAAGCGCCTACCCTGAGCTTTAGGGCTTAAAAGCACCTCTTTTTGACAACACTGAATGGAGCATGAAGTTTGAGTAAAATAAATTTCAAGATTACCATTGTGGATTTAAGAATGTTTTTCTTCTTAAAGAAGACATCACTGGATTTTACATTGATTCAGGCAGTACTACAGGCTAAAAGGAAATGGTAGGGCCAGCCACCCTTACTTTTCAATTTCTGTAGCAATAAAGTTCTAGAAGTTTTCATGGGAAATAAATTGATAAATTTATCAGGCTAATTGTAAAAAATAGTTTCTATCCTTTCCTACAAAACTCCCACTTTCTTTTGTCTCGGATATTGACTATTGGCTCTCGGCCTCTGGTTTCATTTCAGTAGTTTCCTGTACCTCACATGAAAATCTTTTATGAAAGGAAATTGGCCAATGAGATAAGTCTGTGAAAATGAGTCTTTTATTGATAAAGTAAGTGGTATTAATAACAACATCAAGAAGATGCAAGAATTACAAGATATGGCATTTGAGCTTACAAAAATTCTCTGGCTAACTATACAAACCATCTAAGCCAGAACAAGTGAGTTAATGAAGTCCTGAAGTTGTTTTGCATTAACAACTGGATACAAGTTCGACCAACTAAACAAATTTTCAATACATCTACCCTTCAAATTGCCTAAAGCAGCTGACTCTCCATCAAAACATCTCCTATTCCATTCTAACCAAATGCACCAAATCCAGATCTTCTTGATGGTTTTGTCGACTTTCCATAGGCTCCAACTCTCATAAGCATCCTTAACTGTGAGGGGTGTGGTCCAATTGAGACCAGAAAACAAAAAAACATACTCCATAATTCTGAGGCCACCTCACAATGAAGAAGAAGGTGTCTGGGGGTTTCAACCTCTTTTTTGCTCATATAGCATCTGTTTGGGAGCTGGATTTTCCTTTTCTTTGTGTTGTCTTGGTGAGACATGCCTCATATAGAGCTGTTCAGGTAAAACAAGCAACCTTAGGAGGTAGCCTGGGGGAAGATGGGGATAAAGAGTAAGGATTGAAGCCATCTTAGCTCTACAGGGGTTAGCTCTGTAAATGTGTAGATCTTGGTCCTCCAAATGAGTTTCCAGGGCCAGTTATTTATCATGGGGTTTCTAGAGCATAACTGTAGGTACCCTTCCTTGACTGTATAAACTCCTTTTGGTGTCCCCATTTGAACTTATCAACTGCCTGGGGATCAATGTGACAATGTTGTAGTCTAGAAAAAAGATCTACCAGATCATTCACTTCCCAATTGTGCATATTCCTTCTATATATCATGTCCCAGTTGGTCCCTTCTCTATTAGCAGCAGTAATAGAATTGGGATCTTAAGTAATTCTAAACAGATCTTGGTATGACGATGAAATTTAATTAACTAGGTGTGAACTATGGATGATGAATCGTGAGAATTACTTGCTTGCATAATTTTGAGGACATATTGAAGTTCTTTGAATTTTGAAATAATAGTATAATACTAGTTAGTATTACCTATCAAAAAGATAACAGTAGTTAGCCTCATCTATTTTAGCTCTACATGCCCTGCGAAAAGTAAATATATGTTCTCGTCTTTTTTGTTTCTTTTCCTCTTCTGCAGTCCTTTCCTTTAATGAGATCATAATCTTCTACTGGTGTTTGATTTCCAGATGGTTAAGTGTGTACACTTGACCGGTGTATACCATTTTCATGATATGATTGATATGCTTGTCAAATGTGGATATAAAAAGGGAACTACGTTGTTTGGTTTTGGTTATGACTTCCGCCAAAGTAATAGGTATTATTAAACCGCTGAAATTTCCATTGCCACTATGTCATATTGCACTGTATTATAGCTTATTATTTGATAAGTTGCTGACTGTGATGGTATTAAACAAGAGACTCTTAGTTCGATTTTGCCTTATTTGATTTTTCTGCTGAAACTATCATCACACTTAAGTGACCTGGTTAGCACATGGTTGCAGGATTGACAAGGCAATGAATGACCTGAAAGAAAAGTTGGCAGCAGCTTATAAAGCTTCTGGGGGAAGAAAAGTCGATATTATTTCGCATTCCATGGGTGGATTGTTAATCAAATGTTTCATTTCTCTTTATAGTGATGTAAGTGCAATTGCTTGATACTTATTCAGTTGTAAATCACCTAGAGCATTTAATCAAGTTATATTAATCATAAGAAGATAAAGTTTGATGTGTCATAAGTGGTGTGCACAAAGGGGGCGGTTTGGCCTGTTGTTCCCGTTGGTCACCTATGTTCTCCAATTTAAGATAATGTCTTCCTATTTGTTCTGCTCATGTATCTTTTCTATTTTACTTTTCTGTCTCCCTTCATTCCTGCCTAGCTTCTTGATTTAGAATTATCACTCTTCCATGAGTGGCATCCCTAAATGCGAACAATTACCTTTCAGGTATTTTCCAAGTATGTGAATAAGTGGATTACCATTGCCACCCCCTTTCAAGGTAACTTTTCTTTCTTTCTCTTAGCAACTTTTTGCAGATGATGTCTAATTTGAATTGCTAGGATACTAGCTAAGATATCCTTCTTACCAGTCTGAGGATGCATAGATAATGCATATAGTGATATCAATTTGATTACCATATTTGAGCACCACCTCCCCCTCCAACAACAAAAAATGAAGTAGATGATCAGTGTAACTAGAGAAGGTCAGGCAGCATCAGAAGCCGCTTATCTTTTGGTGGGGGAGGTACCAGTTACATAAGTATAAGAAAGAACCAATAACTAATTGATAATAGTTGCACTGAATACAATCTACAGCTTCTAATTCTGAATCATTGTTAAAGATTTTTTATTTTTTTTTGCAAAATACTCTCTCTGTTCACTTTTACTTATCCACTTTGGACTTTGCACGCCCCTTAAGAAACAATAATTAATACGAACATTTTACTATAATACCCAATTAATTGATGTTTAGTATTAGGTCTTGGAAAATGATTTGGGGAATAATTAATTAATTGTCTTTTCTTGATATGTTAAAAGCCACAAGTAAATTTGAAAATCTATTGGATTAGTGAACAAGTAATAGCGAACGGAAGGAGTAGTATAGTATCGCATATAATTAGAGGAATGATAAGTTTGTATTTACGAACTCCAGTACAAGCTTCATAAAAGAATATATTACTTTTTTCTTCCAGATTTTTGGTGAAACATTACCTTGGCGAGAGTTCATAGTCCTTAAGTAATGCTCCTGAACCTCAAAACTGTGAGTTACAAGTGTGCAGAATTCTAATTATTCATCTCTTGTAAACAGGTGCTCCTGGATGCATTAATGATTCTCTTTTAACTGGAGTGCAGTTCGTTGATGGATTTGAAAGCAACTTTTTTGTGTCAAGGTGGACAATGCATCAATTGGTAAGCCTCTCTTGGTTAGGAAACTTGTGCAAGTCCCCCTATTAATAACTTCTGCAGAAAAACAAAGCTTAAGTTTACTAATAGCTCCTTATTTGTTGATTTAGATGAAAAATGTGCATTGGATGATGAATTTAATCTATCTACCTCCTTATTTACTGAAGACGAGTTCTTTTTTAATCAAGTGAAGCTGTTAAATACGAACTACGCTCGATGCATGTCTAACTTCATAGTTCATATGCATCATCTCGCACAAAGATATCTTCCTCAACGTTTTCAGTCATATCTTCAATGGCCCTAGATAGTTTATAGAATATACCTGATAAAAAAATAAATAGAATATATCAGAAGAGTTCCCGAAACTGAATGCTCAAAGTGTAGTGCTAGGCCTTGCCAGAATTTTTTAATCTTACTGATACATCTTTCAAACCATATGGTTATCTATACATTGAGTTAAACTGGAAATGTTGTTTGATTGGGGGATGACTGTTCTTTCACCTGGTAGTTCTTGTATTCTTATGATATGGTGTCCGTCAATGTTGCAAATATTGTCTATCTTTTCATCCTTAAGATGCCGACTAGAGTCATAGTTCCTTTCTGTCTTTAGAGTTCTCTTAAGATGACTTGATTTACTCTCAAGTTTAATTCTTTGCAAGTTGATTGAGTGCCCATCAATCTATGAGATGTTGCCAAATCCTGACTTCAAGTGGGAAAAGCAACCTGAAATTCTGGTATGGAGGAAAAAATCCAAGGATGGGAATACAGTGGTTAAATTAGAACGTTATGATGCTAGCACAAGTGTGACTCTCTTTGAGGAAGCATTGAAGACCAATGAGGTATATCTCCAAGCTATCTTTTGCCACTAGAATTATTAACTTCATATTGCCAGTTTTTAAGTTTCACACTTCTAAATCTCCCCAACTCGGCGATTAGCTATTAAAATGAGCAGGCTTCTTGTTTTTTGAGAAAGCATTTCCTGATCTCATGCATGCTTGAACTAATCAAAGCTAAAGTAATGAGGCTTATGTAAAATACGTGTGACATTTTGTCTAGAGCAGCTGCCCCGATGCTGAGAAGTGACACTTGGACTGATTGTACTTTTAAGAGGAAAAAAATTAATTCAACCAAAAGCAAGAGTGTAACTGCTCTATGCTTACTTTACTACTAGGTGCGGGTATAACTAGCCAAAATATGATGTTCATATCTGTGCTGTAGTACTTCAATATTGTTATGTTACCAACTTAAAATTAAAAAAAATACTTCAATATTGTTTGTTATAATACTTCAAATGACCATGAGCTTTTCCTTGCATGCGTTGTGTCAAATACCTGTTAAGCTCATTTTTATGAGACAGGCTTGCAGGGCTTAGAGGCTAGGATTAAACTTGAGTTACCCTTTTTCTATTTGTCTTGTTAGAGGACAGGAATCGGTAAGAAGTTGCTTTGGCACCAAATTAAAGAATCAACATGGTTATTACCCCCCTCCCCCCCAAAAAAAATAAAAATAAATTAACATGGTCTATGCATATGAAATTTTGAAACTTGTGGGTGATATATTTGTCATCATCTGGAAATGCAGCAACCATTTAAGGATGGACAAATAGAACGTATGTCTCATACATAAGATAGATGGATAATTTGTTATTATTACCTTTTGAGTTTGTCAGCTGTCATTATTGGTTTTGGATGCTGATACAAATTGTTTCTCGTATGCATATCTATGACTAGAGTGCAGTGCCATAGCGAGTGATTTAAATTTTTCCCCCTTTTCCTGAATTGCAGCTCAACTTACATGGTAAAACAATGCCTCTACCTTTCAACTTATCAATTCTTGATTGGGCAGCTAGTACTCGCAAAATTTTAAATGATGCTCAATTGCCGAAAGGGATGCCCTTATATAACATCTATGGGACATCTTTTGATACACCTTTTGATGTCAGGTACGTAACTGTATCTTATCATACAGATTAGTACTTTGTGTTTGAGGCTCTGCACTATTTGAGGTGTACATGTTTCTTTTGTAGTTACGGTTCAGAAGCTTCTCCAATTGAGGACCTAACAAATGTCTGCCATACAATGGTAACTAACTTCATTTCTTTTTCCTTGCTAGTATGAGTGTGACATTATGACGTTCCAACATTCTGCATTTTTTCTGTGTGCTTGTGATTTGTAATCAAGTGATCAACAAAACTCTACTACATCCAGAATCTTTAGGGGAGTGGATAGCGACTAATGTGTGAAATGTGCATGGGGATGAAATTCATTCTGTATTAAGAGCATGTCTTACTGTTATATAATGCTTCCTGAAGCTTTTCTACTTACTATTACCTATTTCCGTTGTGATCTAGCCCCAATATTCCTTCGTGGATGGTGATGGAACTGTTCCAACTGAATCAGCAATGGTATTATTCTTCACTTCTCTATTTTTTTTCTTACTCTTCTTTTATAAGATTAAAGGTATCTTGGCTGGTGCGAGGCAACAAGTACCCTGTGGAATTAGTCGAGGCATGCGCAAGCTGGCCCGGACACCACAGATATTTTTTTGAAAAAATGGTATATTGGTATTTTAAGTAAACAGAGTCTGATACTAATTAAGAAAAAGAAAAAAGATCAGGGCTTCCATCCGAACTAGCGCCTTAAGCAGGAACGCAAATGAAATTATGTGGTATGATATCATAGATAAGAGAAACATTACTTTTAGGAGTGTGATATTTTGCCTTTTATTGAGGAGATAGCGTCAATGGTGACACTATGACGAATACTCAATATCTTGGTTGATTGCTGACCCTCGGCTGATAATTCCGCAGGCTGATAATTGTGAAGCAGTGGAAAGAGTAGGAGTTCAGGCTGGTCACAGGGGACTATTACGAGATGAGAAAGTTTTTGAGCTTATCAAGAAATGGCTTGGCGTCTCCGATAAAAAGAAGGTGCATTCCAGAACCTCTAGAGTAATGGACCTTTATGCAGGTCAATAGTTGTAAACAATGTGTTCTGCTCATTCTTAGAACCTTTCCCTTTTTCTTCTCTCAGTTTTATTAGTTGGTAGTTGTAAGTCTACACACGTACAATTCCTCGAGAATGTAGAAACTAGCTTCTCAATCATCGCGTATGTTAGTAGCAATATGCATTACACACTCTAGAGAACTGGAAACTTGAACCAACACTTGATGTAATAACAATGTTTTTCGTGTAAATATACGTAAGAATCCAGAGGTTTTATCGCTCTTTTTTCGTTACTCCTTTTCTGCAATTCTTCATTTCATTAAAGGTACTTTCATCTACCTATATTATTTTGTAGAATTTGAGAATGTAAACTTCATAATGAGATTATTTTACAGAACTCCAGGCTCTTTCTTTCTTGTTGAAGTAATGTCCAGGTTCAAGCTTGTTCATTGTTTCAATTTTGTTTGGATTTCTGATAGCATTTATCCAACTGGGGTAACTTTATATTTGCCAAAATGCAAAATGATTTCTTTTGTGTTGTTTTTCTCCCCTTTTAATACAGTTCAATTGAAAATATAATTAAATAAATAAAAATACTCTAAAAATAGTTTATATCTTTAGATGAGATAGGCATATGTGGTAGTTTTAACTTTCAAGTCTCACTATGTCATTGGCGAATTATCATATAAAGTTTTTTACGTGTTTAACCTATGATAAAAAAAATTTAGAGTCACATATGCATAATCCCTCCACAATTTTAACTAGAGCTCTCGTGTTTAAACCTTGAGAATGAAAGAAATGATGTAGGGATATGGAAAACGGTACCCTTGATGGATTGTCAAATTAATCGAACTCTAAAGCGAGTACCGAATATTAGGCAAAAACAAAACAAAAAAGAAACAAATCAACAAGTTCCAAACTTCATTTTCTACTGTCAGATTTTGGTTGCATCAATTTGTTACTTGTTGAGTGCAAGATAACTTGATTGGGTGAAATAAACATATAGGAAGAAGGGTCAAACTGTAGAGGTCAAAAGAAATATAGGGTTTGAATCCCCAATAATATTGTTAATTTTGATTTTCTTGAAGTTGTAATTACTAGTAGTTCTAGGGTTTTGATAACATATTATACTAATTAATTTTAGAGTATCATAAACCAAGAAAGATAAAAAAGAGAAAGAAACAAATGAGCATTCCTAGTAGTCCTTTATATGTTTTGATGATTTTTTATTATTACACATGTTTTTTTCTCTTTTGGTTATCATATTATTTATTGTTGTTACTGTTCATTTTCCCATTATTTTCATTGTAATTTCTTCACTACTATATTCCATTTTTATACCTGTTTTTGAAATGTTTTACTTGAGTCGTGAGTCTATTGAAAACAATCTCTCTATTTCCATTATATAGGATCCTCCTAGATCTGACTTATGAGATTACACAAAATAATTATTCTACATACTAAAGCTAAACTAATCGAGGTACGCATAAATTAATTCAAACAATTATAAAAATAATAATTAAAAAGGGCATTGGTATTGGATTTGCTAGTTGAATAGCCTAAAAGACTGTGCAAATTGGAATAGATTACCAAGAAGGCACGGGTGATGCTTCTGCTACGAATGCTCCGCCTATTTCTCCAATGTACTTTGTTTAGTGCACATCGAGAATCTCGACTCGACGTAACTGGTAAAATTGTTATTACATATGTGATGAGAAAATTATAAATTTGAGTTGTAAAAATAATAATTCTAGCAAAAATGTAGATAAGATGGTACAATCGACTCTTGTAATCAGTAGTGAATAGTAAACAATATAATTATGAGGTTAATAGACTAGATCACACAACCTCAAGAAATTTTCGCAACACCCTAACCGCTAGACTAAATTTTTAACTTGTGTCAAAAGGTGTCAATACTTATATATATTTATATTTATTAAACTAAAATTTGATCTTTATAGTAATTTTCCGACGAAGGGGTGTCGCTCGACACCTCTTTGCTTAGGGTGAGTCCACCCCTGCTTCTAATATGATCACTTAGTGCATCGAACTGTTCTTTTATATATATTGTCTCTTTCTTGTAAAAGTGAATTTAATATTTAAAGTTTTTATGATTTGATAGAATATGGGTTGGCGATGATTATGATTCGCTAAAAAATTAATAATTTGGACGCAAATTTTGCATTTATATTAAAAAGTTATTTAATATGTACAAATATTTAGAACAATCATAATTATTTCTAGGATTCTTAGTTTTTTTTTGTGTTTTTGTGTGTGTGTATGTGTGTCCTTAATTATTATTGGTTTTCGTTCCCACCTTAGTTCTTGTGCTACAAACACATAATCTTTAGTACTAATTATTCATTTGCATGTATGCACTATTTTAGATAGACTGAGTTAATAAATAAATTTTAAAAAATTATAATTTTATTAAAAAATACTTTAAAATCACTTGATACTATTCGATTCTCAGTTAAGTCGATTTATAAAATTCTAACTCCGTCAATACTTTTCAACTATAAAGGGGTTGTCCCACATCAGCTGAATGTCTGTGCAGAACATACTGATGATGATTTGTTTTTTTTAATCTGTTATTTTATCTGAATAAATGCTGCAATTTTTTTAATTATTTTGCATGGCAGCATATTGAATTAATGGTAATATATGAAGAGGGGGCCATTTTTCACATGGGTCATTGACAGTATATTTATAATTACATGATCCTCACTGCACTTTTCAGAATATCATCATGGTCATTTTTATGGTAGAGAGCCGGATTTAAAATTTATAAATTTTAAATATTATAATATTATAATTTTAGTAGATTTCAAATCGTTTATTTATATCTTCTAAGTGAATAATCTATCGAATTAGTAATTAAAACTTTAGTCCATTTCGGTAATGATGAAATCAAAAATTTAATTACAAGTGTTTAAAATATAATGTATATGTGTGAAAGGTAATTTTTTTATTTATATAGTATAGTTTTCTCGATATCAAGTATAATCTTTTTAACGAACAATGTTTAATTGATCATCCTTTAATTTATGTTTAACTGTCCATCTTTCACTTTGTGTCGCTCCGCTATTAACGAAGAGTCTTTAACTGACCATCCTTCATATCAAAACTTGCAGTTTAAAATAATAATAACATGAATAACATCTTTAGTGTCGTCCCACAAGTAAGATGATATGAATACGATTGTGATTTACATAGACCTTACGTCTATATGTGTAGAATAGAGAAATTGTTTTTGATAAACCTTCGACTCAAGAAAATCGATTTTCATAAAATGCAAGAAGGAAAAGCTATAATGAAAAATATGAGTTTGATTCGAGGCCTAAAATATAAACAAACTTCATATACATATTTATTCAAATTTTATTTCTATAAGTAATAAGTTGACAAATATTGAATAAAGATAAGAGTTAGAACCATAGAATCTCAAGAAGTTGATGACTTGGTATACCCCATTTTAATATGCTTGACGTAATGCTTGAAACTAAAATTTAAAAATAAATAAAAAAGAATTTGTAATGCACTTTGTTCAACACTTTTCACTATTAATTCTTATTTTTAACAAAGTACAAAGTATGTTCAAGTGGGTAAAATAATATACTTTTAATCATAAATAATTATTTTTTTCTATAAAATCTTTAACACGTAATTTATTCTTGATAAAAATTTAAAGCCCCAAAATTTGGAGGCCTAAGACGTAAGCCTTATCTTATAAAGCACAGAGCCGCCCCTGTGTAACACACTGACTCCGCCCCTCATAGTCCAGGCTGTAAGCCTGAAGAATGAAGAGAAAAAAAAACTGAACATATACACAGATGAGAATTAATTGACTGTACACATAACACATGACGTATAGACCTTAAATTCATCATTTATTGAAACAAAAAAAAAACTAGTAGTAGAGTAAGTACCAGTTTTTATTCTTTCCTCATGGGGGTTGATATGGCCTATCTGAACACTTAAGTATTTAGTCATGTAATGTATTTGCACCACTCTTCAATTACTCACTCATTTACCCCCCATGGGTACCACTCCTATTTTTGTGTCTCTATCTTCTTCTTTTTTAAATCATAATTAAAAAAACGAGCATCGTGAAAATACATGCCGCTTAGTTAAAGAAAGATATTTGAGTCGGGATATGTTGATGGTGATAGTATATAGTGTAAGCAGTGCCGGCTCTTGCCTATAAATTTTTAGGTCAATGCCTTTTGGGGGCCTCAAATTTTTAAAAATAAAAAATCATGTTTAATTTTTTCATGATTTTTTTTTTTATATAATAAAAAGTACATTTATATATATATATATTATTTTATTTGCTAACACTCACGTTATTTATCCTTTTTAACTCCTTCGCACTCTATTTCTTCAAATCTTTGATAGTTAGAGTAATAATTCTGTCAAAAATATGAATCCTAGCCGAAAAGTGTTGAACAAAGTAAATTACAAATATTCTCTTATTTCTTAGTAACTTTTCATAGTAAAGTAGGTATACCAAGTTATCAACTTTTTGAATCAGATTCTATGATTCTAACTCTTATCTTTATTTAAAATTTATCAACTTATTACTTATAGAACTATATTATCGATTCATATAATAATTGTCTCAATAATGATGTTTTTCAATGTTGATTTGATAAAATCTTGCTTAAAAATAATAATTTTAAAAAGTGTTTGAAAAAATCATTTATAAAAAAGATATTAAGTAATAATTTACATCTAAAAATTTAGAAAAAATAAATAAATACAGATAAAATTTATTTAAATTTTAGGCCTCTAATTAAAATTTTGCTTTAGGCCTCGAATTATGTTGAGCCGGCCCTGTGTGTAAGAAAGATATTTGAGTCAGGTTATGTTGATGGTAATGATATATAGTGTAAGAAAGATATTCGAGTCAGGTTATGTTGATGGTAATGATATATAGTGTAAGAAAGATATTCGAGTCAGGTTATGTTGATGGTAATGATATATAGTGTAAGAAAGATATTCGAGTCAAGATATGTTGATGGTAATGGTATATAATGTAAGAAAGATATTTGAATCAGATTATATTGATGGAGATTGTATATAGTGTAAGAAAGATATTCGAGTCAAGATATGTTGATGGTAATGGTATATAATGTAAGAAAGATATTTGAATCAGATTATATTGATGGAGATTGTATATAGTGTAAGAAAGATATTCGAGTCAAGATATGTTGATGGTAATGGTATATAATGTAAGAAAGATATTTGAATCAGATTATATTGATGGAGATTGTATATAGTGTAAGAAAGA